ATTAATTGCATTTCTGTAAACTAGTAATTAACAACCTGAAAATGAAATTAACTCATTTAACTAGCATCAGAAAGTAAAATCATTAAGAACAAATTTAATGTAAGACATCCATTTGAAACTGTAAAGCACTGTTGAATAAAGTTGTAGATCAATGTATATAAATAGAAAAACATTTCATAGTCATGGATCAGAAGAATGAATACTATTCAGGTGAAAAATTCCCCAAACTATTTTATGGGTTATTACAATATCTTTCTTTCTTTCTTTTTTTTTTTTTTTTTTTTTTTTTTTGACAGGCAGAGTGGATAGTGAGAGAGAGAGACAGAGAGAAGGGTCTTCCTTTGCCGTTGGTTCACTCTCCAATGGCCACCGCAGCCGGCGCACCGCGCTAATCTGAAGGCAGGAGCCAGGTACTTCTCCTTGTCTCCCATGGGGTGCAGGGCCCAAGCACTTGGGCCATCCTCTACTACACTCCCGGGCCACAGCAGAGAGCTGGCCTAGAAGAGGGGCAACCGGGACAGAATCCGGTGCCCCGACAAGGACTAGTACCCGGTGTGCCGGCGCCACAGGTGGAGGATTAGCCTATTGAGCCACGGTGCCGGCCACAATATCTTTCAAAATCCAACATTTATTTTTGGCAGAGTGGACAAAATGGACCTAAATGTATGTTAAATGGAAATGCCAATGGATCCAGAATCACTGAACCAATATTGGGATACCTGAACATTGTTGGGGAGGACTAATCTGTTCCAATTCAAAAACTGTGGTATGTTGGCTAATATATTGTCTTATGATCACAAGATGACTTCCTACCTAATATGCACATAATGCTTGGATGATCTAGACTGGCAGACTGGGCACTTTTCACTGGACCTCAAGGAAGTTTGGTTGTCCTGTTGCAGGAATATTTTGCCTCTGCTTATAGCATCAACTAGCTTGTTCTAGGATTCTCTTAGATCAACTTTCTGTGCTATAAATCCTGCTATCCTTCTAGGCTCCCACCCCAACTACCCTCCTTGGGGAAGTTTTGTTGGATATCTTAGAGACCCTAATCTTTGTGTATTGTTTCTTGAGTCAAGGGTGGTCTAAACTGCTTATAGGTGAGCCAGCTAGCCATGGTCAATGAAATGTCTGATCAAGTAGAGTTCATAACCTAAGATCTTTTAAAATAATTTTTTTTTGAAAATCAGATATAGTGAAAGATGGAGAGACACACAGGAGGAGATTTCCATCCACTGGTTCATTCTCCAGATGGTTGGAATGCCCAGGGCTGGGGTAGACTGAAGCCAAGAGCCAGGAGCTTCGTCTAAGTCTCACATGGGTGACAGGGGCCCAAACACTTACACCATTTTCTGCTTTTCTCAAGCCATTAGCAGGGAGCTGGGTCAAAAGTGGGACAACTGGGGCATGAGCCAGTGTCCATATGGGATGCCAGCATCATGGGTGGCAGCTTTACTGGTGATGCCACAGAGCTGACCCCTGGAAGGTCTTGAGACCCTCAGTACCTCTTATTTGCTCCTAGGGGGACATGGTCTAAGACAGTTACATTGCCCTTGACCACCTCTTGGTATGGGGAGGAGCTTATTCCCTGGCCAGTACCTCCTGATGTTTGTGGGTATATGATATCAGATATCTCAGGTAATCTAGGACATAACCATCCAGACAAATATCACACATCATCAGCTATCTGCAAGAAATCCTTCTACCCTTTTTTGATTTGCATTCCTGGTTGGCCTCACATGCTCAAGAATGTTTTACTCTTGATTGCTGAGAGCTTCCTGTCATTCCTCCCACATTATTCCTACTGCCAGTACTGTTTACTCTTACATAAGATCTGCTTTTTTCCTGACATTTGACTGATCATGAACTATACTTTCACGGTCATGCTCTCTCTCAGTTTCTGACCCCTTAAAAGCTAGTACATAGAATGCTAAGATATGTGGACCATAAGATTAATAGTAAAGGCTCACTTAAGTGTATCTTAACACTCAAACTATGATATAACCTAGACCAGAGACTTTCAGGAGACAAGGACAGCTCAGCACAAATGTAACTTTTAAACCATACAACAAAGCTTACCATTTTAAAATTTATATAAGGTGAACAAATTTCATATATACAGATTTAGGAGCATAGTGATACTTCCCACCCTACCCTCCCTCCTGCCAATGTTCCCAACCTCAATTCTCCTTCCTTTCTTATTCTTTTAAATTTTTCAATAACATACTTTCTTTTTGTTTTATAATCATAAGGTTAACCCACCACTAAGTAAAGAATTCAACAAAAGATAAAAGAAGAATAAAGAAGAACACCGTTTCACAACAGTGGAGACAAGGGCTATAAACAATTCTCAAAATGTCAATTTTGCTAAAATATATTAAATTTTTATACTCCATTAGTTATCAGAGATCAGAGAAAACATGGTGTTTGACTTCTTGGGACTAACTTACTTCACTAAGTATAATTGTTTCCAGTTGTATCCATTTTGTTGTGAAAGACAGGATTTCATTCTTTTTAATGGCTTAGTAATATTCCATAGTGTGTAAATAAATACCATGTATTTATCCAGTCATCAGTTCACGGACATCTGGGTTGATTCTATATTTTAGGTACTGTGACTTGAGCTGCAATAAACATAGGGGGCATAGATAGCTCTTTGATATGCTTATATATCATATATATATTAATATATCATATATAATATATATCATATATATAATATGATATATAATAATACATATCATATCTATATACCACAGATAGCTCTTTGATATAGCTCTTTGGAATGATTTCATTTTGTTTGGGAAACTTATCAGGAGTGGGATTGCTGGGTCATATAGTAGATCTAATATTACTTTTTTGAGGAATCTCCAAACTGTCTTTGACAATGGTTGTGCTAGTTTGTATTCCCATGAACAGTGAATTAGGGAACCTTTTTCTTCACATCTTCACAGGCATTTGATACTTGTTGATTTCTAGGCTGAGGTAAAACCTCATATGGTTTTGATTTGCATGTCCCTGATGAATAGTGATCCTGAACATTTCTTTCATGTGTCTGTTGGCCATTTCAATTTCTTCTTTTGAAACATGCCTGTTCAAGCCCTTTGCCCAGTTCTTAACTGTTTTGTTACTGTTCAGTTTCTTGACCTCTTCATAGATTTGGAATATTAATCGTTTGTCAGTTGCTTAGTTTACAAATATTTCTCTCATTCTGTGCATTGACTTTTTATTTTGTAGGACATTTCCTTTGCTGAGCAGGTGCCTTTTATCTTGATAAAATCCCATTTGTTTCTTTTGGCTTTCATTGCTTATGCTTCTGCTGTCTTTTCCAAGAAGTCTGCCTATACCAATGCCGTGCAGCTTCCCCAGTATTCTTCTAGTAATATGATGGTATCAGGTCATACATTTAGATTCTTGATCCGTTTTGAATTGATTATTGTATAAGGTGTGAGGTAGGGGTCTTGCTTTGTACTTCTGCACCTGGAGGCCCAGTTTTCCCAGCATTATTTGTTGAAGAGACGGTGATTTCTCCAGGGATTGATTTTAGCTCCATTGTCAGATTTGTATAACAATAGCTTAAACATTATCTATCAAAGTAACTCCTGGTAAGTGTCCAGACTGCATACAGGTATTTTAAAAAAAGGAAAAAAAAAAGTCATAAATTTTGAGAATAATCTCTGGATGGAGAACTTCTAAAGCAGTCAGTCATCTCAAACCCTGTCTGTAATTGGTCCATGCCATCACCCATTCCTGCCATCAGTTCTGTAACAACACCACCACACAAATAAACAGTTTAGCAATCAAATGTGGTACTTAAGACATCATTGTCAGGCATTAAATCAAAGCCATGAAGTTGGTCAGCGAGGACCAGCCAAAATTCCTGAACCAAACAGCTTACTACTAAGTCACATTAACCAAGACAATGTGGTTCTGGCATAAGGATAGAAGCATAGTTTAATGAATAGAATTTTGAATACAGATATAAGTGCTTATTTTTATGGTTAATTAATTTTAGGAAAGGATATCAAGACAACTCAATGTGGGAAGAATAGTTTTTCATCAGACAGTACTGGGAAAATTAAATAGGCACATGCAGAATGAAATCAGCCCTTACTTCACATCATTTAGAAATTAAGTCAGAATGGATAAAAGAAGCATAAATGAAGAGCTAAAATTATAAAACACTTAGAAGGGCCGGCACCGCGGCTCAATAGGCTAATCCTCCGCCTGCGGCGCCAGCACACCTGATTCTGTCCTGGTTGCCCCTCTTCCAGCCCAGCTCTCTGCTGTGGCCTGGGAGGGCAGTGAAGGATGGCCCAAGTGCTTAGGCCCTGCACTCACATGGGAGACCAGGAGAAGCACCTGGCTCCTGGCTTCGGATCATTGTGGTGCACTGGCTGCAGCGCACCAGCTGTGGCGGACATTGGGTGGTGAACCAACAGAAAAGGAAGACCTTTCTCTCTGTCTCTCTCTCTCACTGTCCACTCTGCCTGTCAAAAAAATAAAAATAAAAAAATAAAACACTTAGAATAAAACATACAATAAATTTGGACCTTGGATTGGGTAATTATGTCTTGGTTATAACACCAGAAACACAAATAAGAGAAGAAATTTGCCTCATGAAAATTAAAGTTTTTGTGTTTCCAAGGACACTATCAAAAATGATAAGACAAGCACAAAATGAAAATATTACATGTGGCAAGGTATTCATATCCAAAACATATAGAAACTGTTAAAACTTAATAATAAAAAGGCACAAGCCAATTAAAAATGAACAATGGTTTTGAGCCAGTATCTAGAGAAGAATCCCATGAAAAGTTCAAATCTGTGGGGAGCAGCCCGGACTGGACTGAGTTACTGGAATTAAGACTTATTCTATGCATCTGCTCTCCCACAATATGGCGCTGGGAGAGAAGAAAACAGCTTCTGCACAGCTGCCTCCAGTTCAACCAATAAACTGTAGGACTTGCTCCTGATTGGAGGAGAGCAGTGTACTCGGCGTGTGGGCAGCCGAGTTGGGAGTGGCAGAGGAGGACTATAAAGGAGGAGAGAGACGGCATGCACCAGGAACATCTAAGGGGAACATCTAAGGGGAACACCTGTGCAGCCCCCGAGAAGAGCCGGCCGGCGGTGTGCCGCTCCCCTGCGGAAGTGGGGAATGTGGCTAGGGGGAACTGCCCTTCCACGGAGGTGGAAGGGATAGTAGCCAACCCGGGAAGAACCAGCAGCAAACCCGGGGAGGGCCGAGCAGACGAAAGAACAGCGCAGGGTCCTGTGTCGTTCCTCCACGAAGAGGGGGAGCGACATAATGGTGCCGTGACTCGGATATGAAGCCTAGGCAGGGCTTAGTGTCGTTCCTCCACGAAGAAGGGGAGCGACAAAATCAACAGTGATTATGAAAATGTAAATCAAAAGTATAGTGAGATATTAATTTATATTCAATAGGTTTACAATAATCAAAAAGACAGACAATCTTTTGGTGAATACCTATATAATTTTTAAATTGCTTATGGGAATATAAAATATGTATTATGTTGGAAAGTCCAACAGCTCTTCTAAAGCGAAAACCTGAATATACCATGTAACTCAACAATCCTTCTTCTAGATATACAATCTAAAGAACTGAAAATATAGAGTACAGAGTAGTATTGTTCATAATAGTGAAAAAAGGGAAATACAATGTAAATATACACCCAACTGCTGGGTGGATAAACTAAATCTATGTGCATAACTGAATGTGAATCAACAATAAAAGGGAAGAAAGGTCTGATACATGGACGATCTTTAATACATTATGTTGAGTAAAAGAAAACACATAAAAAGGATATATGGTATGTGATCTCATATTTGTAATGTGTGGAAGAGAAAAATCCATACAGAGAAACTATCATTGCTGGGGCCTGGGAAGATGAGTGTTGAGTATTGAATGCTAATGGTTGTGGGGCTTCTTTTCATAGATGATAAAAGTATTCCATAATTAGATAATGGTGATCAATGCAGAAGCTTGCACATATAGTAAAAAAAAAAATCACTGAATTTTGTATGTTGAATGACTTGCAACACTAATTTTCACTTGAAATGTTCTCTCCCTCTTTTCCTCTTTTTCTCTTTTTCTCTCTTCTTCTCCCTCTCCTTTTCCCTTTGTTAACCAAAACAGTACACTGTGTCACTTTGTGTTTTCATATGATTTAGGAAAATGTCTGTTTTTTTTCCTCTTTCACTTGCAGTTCTTTCTCTCTGGTAAATTCAAAAAACCAGAGGTGGGAAAGAAGTAATCTTCATGGTAGATAGCATGTTACATTCCAAATGCTTCCATATTGCAACAACTAGGATTTTCTTGCATGATAAATTTTGTGTCTATTTTTATACAAATGGAGTCCTGGCAAAATCTGCCTTCACCAATTCAGCAGGTATGTGAGGGTGATTCAAAAAGTATGTGGAAAATGCATATTATGAAAAAAATCTTTGTGTACTTAAATTTTTTTGCATGAAAATACACATATCTTTCACTTTTCCCTATGAATTGTATTAAGGTACTCTTATTCACACATTTCTGAACTTCCACATTAAATATTGTTTAGGCTCATGTTATTAACTTTTTATAGATTCGATTTAAAAATTTAACGAGTGTGTAAGCATTATCCTAAGTCCATAAGCTCTAAAATAACATAATTAAAGATTGAAAAGAGATTCCATTAGATGAGAATCTGTGTACTTTGTACATAATAATGGTGAGAAAAATGGGATGATCTAACAAGTCAATGTGTTTCCCAATGGTTTGGTATACAATGTGACAAAATTATAAAAATCAACTCAACAAAGCACACATATACAAATATAACAATTTTATGTATAGGTTAGTGTCAGGAAAACTAAATTCCAAAGTCAACAAAGCCTTTACAAATATCAAGTAGTGCTCTTTTTGTGGTTTATAAATGTGATAATTGGGTTTCTACCTCTTTTCATGAGATTTATATCAAATGTTATTTGGAAGTTGCCATGTTATCCATTTTATGTGAAAAATAAAAATCTGACTGATTATTCTCTTTATTATTCTCTTTTTATTTATGCAAAACTTATATATACATATATGCATGCATATTTATAATTTATATACATACATATATAAAACATAATACTTGTGTGTAGGTATATATATATGGAACAAATTTGATATATACCGTTTTAAGAGCATAATGGCACTCCCCAGCCTTCCTCCTTCTTCCTTTCTTCTTTTTCTTTTAAACCTGTGTGTGGAGAAGGAAAAGGAACAATTTCATAACACACTTCAGTGACAATCTGCTGCCTGCGAGCTGATAAGATCTTGTGAGAGGAGGCAGGTATGCGGACAACAGGTGTCAAAGCTCTCTTTTGCAGGCAAGGGAAGCTTAAATACACTACAGAAAACCTCCTGAGAAAGCCTAAGTGAGGGCCCATTAGGTCAGCGGTGACTAATGCAGAAAGGAAAACGAAAACGGGCAAAAGCCAAAGACAGTTGTCACAGTAGCAAACTCTCCCATTCTTCTATGGGAAGACAGGGAAAAAATTAATGGATTTGACTGTGGGAGAACTGTTCTGTTGGACACCATGTGGGTGGTTGATAGAACAGTGCTGTAGACTGTGCATTCCAAGCCCTTCTCTTTATTATTTATCTGCCGAAAATCAGAAGGCATGTTTCAGTTGGAGTCAGCTCTGAAGAGTTTGTGGTGTGTGTGTCTTCATTTCATTTGTTTAATAGCTGCCTCCCCTAGTTTCTTGTGGATTGCCCGAGAAAGCACTGTGTGATCTTTCTTGTTCACCTCCCATCTGTGGATGTGTTGTTCTCAGCGGTGGTCTGTGAATATTTTAGTGAATTCATGGGAATTAGCCAGGTGATGGTTTGCAAACCACAGTTAGGAAATACACAGAAAGGCTTCTTGCGAGGACATAGCCTCCAATGCAGAGAACTCACTTTTCATCTGTTGCAATCTTGTCTACCAAACTTATGGAAAAAGTAAGAAAATTTTGATTAATTCGCAATTACGGGAGCCTGCACAAGCATGACATTTGACTTGAGGAGCCTGAAGGGAGCTTTCTGAATTCCTAATTTTGAAAACCAAATACGTGGGGAAGAAAGACTGCCTTCCTCTAGAGGCACAGATTCAGGATGACAGTAAAGATGTAACTGCCCTCCAGAAAGACATGTCAGGATCTTTCAAGATTATTTGGACTGGATCAGGAGGATACAGTAAAGATTCACTTGCGTCCAGATTTCAGAAACAGCAGCCTCGGCAGTTGAGAAGAGGTTGCTAAATACATCCTCCTCCTTCTACTTTCTAATTTGTACCTCAGAATTACAAGGGCCATGCTAACCAGAACGTCAGCACTACTGGGGGGAAGTGTCTTTTTAAAGTAGCCGGTAGGCACTTCCAGCCCTTCCCAGTTGCCACACCTTAAGCACCTGTCTTAACCCAATAGCACATCTAACCTTCCTGGGGAAGAGTCATGTTAGGAGCGGGGTACACAGACTGCACTATGTCTTAGGAAGAAATATTTCTATAATACAGAGAAAGAAGACCCCTGGAGCACATCATAAATGGTGACTTTGTTTTGCTGAACACTCCATATTTTTGGAGTTCCCGATAACCAGACAGTGAACACTGGAGAAGCTTTCTCATGGTCCAGTGGACGAACATTGGATCACTAGATGAAACTCTGCTTGATGTCCGGCTTGTTGCAAGATGCAATTGGCCCTTCAGCCATGTGTCTGGAAAGAGGGTTCAGCTGCTGTGGACAAATGGCCAAAGAACTGGACAATTCTGAATCTCAGCGTATCTGTTCTCATTCAAAGATAAAGAAGAAAAGGTATCTCAATAAGATGCATATTGAAAAGGACATAGTATTTTTAATATTCACAGGTAGACACTGAAAATAATATATGTGTGAATCTGGATAAAATTGCACAACCTGGCCTGTCATCAAGTCTTAATGGGTTAAGCTGCCTCCTGTGACATGGGCATTTCATATGGATGGAGGTTCTTTTCCCAGCTGTTCTGCTTATGAGCCAGTTAACTGCTAATGTGCCTGGGAAAGCAGTGGAAGATGGCCCAATTACTTGTGCCCCTGTATCCAGTGGGAGATCCAAAAGTTCTGAACTCCTGGCTTTTGACTATTTCTTTTGACCATTTCTGGTCTTTGTGGCATTTCAGGAAGTGAACCAGTGGATGAAAGATCTTTCTGTCTCTCCTTTTGTCTCTGTAACTCTGTCTTACAAATGAATAAATTAATATTTTAAGAAATGCATATGGGTATGTGGAATTGCCAATGAAATCAAGTGTTAAGGAGTACCCCCTCTGCAAGAATAAAACAAATAAACCCAAAAGGTAGAATAAAATGAATGAATACAGAATAAAATGAAAAGGGAGATGGTTAAGATGAAGTTACCAGAAATACAAGAAGATTTTAACAGCAATAGCAGAATTACAATATTTATTGGTATATAGAGTAAGAAAGGCACTGAGATAATGGATTGTGAATTATGTAACAGGTAGTATCATTCTGAGAATAATTTTACAAGCTATGTAAGGAAATTTAAAATAACAATAGAGAATTAGAATTAGAATCAAGTATACATTTTCTGAGAATGAAACTAGAATAGTTATAAGATCAATCTTCAAACTTAGAAAGTTTACCCTAAATTCTGAGAGTAGATATAATAAGTCAAAAAACTAAGCAATAACGGGCAAAGAAGGTCTATAATTCAGCACAAACTTATATTATATATACTTATAATAAACTTATAATTTCACAATAAACTTATAATTCAGTCAAACTTCTGAATTTTGAAGACAAAGGAAAAGGCAATCCAACAACAATCAACACCTTCCGTGAAACAGCAACACTTACATCAACACAAAAACAATGGCTTCCATCACAAGTGTGGAGTCTGATCCAAATTTTTGCTGTATTTGTTTTTCTGCATTTTTTATTTTCTCACAATTGTCATATTTTACTTCTATAAATGATCACAGTTTGAAGCAACTGACTAAAATCAAGATATACTGTACATGCTGTATGAATTCTGAAAATTGGTTTGAGTAGATGTGATAGATTTATTTATTTTTGTATCTCAAAATATTAATGGCTATAATTGAAAGGGAAAGTGCAGTTAAATTTATTTCTTTGTATTTGTAAATGAGCATGATTTAATGAAAACACTTAATTTTGAAACAATGGAATACTTTCCTTTATGTACAATATATCTTTAAATGATTACAAATATTAATATTTTTAAAAAAAATTAGAAAAGGAAGTTACGTGTTTCAGGCTCGGGAAAGAACTTCTTAACTAAACATGATATTGAAGTAATAAACAAATGAACATATTTGGAAGCATAAAAAATTTTTTTGGCAAATAATACTCTATAGAAAATAAACGGAAAGATATTAGATATAAGAATATTTCCCAGCAAGAAGATAACAATTTAATGTTAATAACTCATAAAGAACCTCTATAAATTGATAAAAGTGACAAATAGCCCAATTACACATGTGCATAAAGGATATGACTAGTCAGCTTGTGAAAGAGCAAATCTGGATGCACAATAAATATATGAAAAATGCTTAAATTTAGCCATTATCAGGGAAATGCAATTTAAAGTGAGTATCAGACTGGCAAACATTTAAAAGAATGATTATACCTTTTTGCTGGAATGCTGTGGGGTAAAAAATTTGTTCTGTCATATATTGCTAATATAAATGTGAATTTTTGCAGGATTTTCTTAAAGAAATGCAGCAGCATTTGTTAAGATATGCTATTTGGCTGAGCAGTCTCATTGCTGAGAATATGCGCAGTTTTATATTAAAATAAGCATTTTAGTGTATAAATATATTTACACAAAGATGCATTGTGACCATGGAAAAGAAGAGAAAAAAGAAGAAAAGAGTGAAATTTAATCCCTTAGAGAAAGGGTAAACAAGCTATGATAAATCCCTATTGGAAATACAAAGCTTTGAATGAGTGAGAGCGATGTCAGAGTACCTGCCGAAAGAAAGAGGCAAATGTGCGAAAGAAATGTTTTGAATTTTGTAAAATCAACTGATACGAGTACAATTCTCTATTTATGTGTTTATGCTTGCTCAACAAATTCTGGATGGAAGTATGTAATATGGGTTACACGGAAAGCCCAGAGAAGGGCGATACAAGTAAGAGGATGTGGAATAGCAAGATAAATAGTAAATTTTAAGATTCCAAGCATGCTCCAAATGCTACAGATATAAAGGTGAATCAGACCTAGTCCTCTTAAGAAATTTGTACTCAGTGAGGATAGCGATTGGTCAGTAAAGAGAGTGGATAATCACAAGGCATCTCCCAATAAAGCATAATTGTCCAGGAGAAGTGTGGACAAGAAATTTAAAAAACAACCCACAAGCAATATCTGAAAATTTGGCCATATCTTGGGAAAACTAATGAGCAAGCATTTTCCAGATAATGTGGGTCGAGGAAGGGAGAGCAGCTGGAACAAAGAGCCCAAATAAAGAAATGAGACCCCCAGGTTTCAGTGGATCAACAAGCATGTTCATTATGAGTGAAGCTAATGATTTGATAGAAAAGTTGCGATTTGTCCTGTCCCTGGCATTTCAGAATTATTAGGTATGGGAAATAATTCAGGAAAAAAAAATTGTTGCCACTAAAAGCAACATAAATTTACTGAGCATTTTACCCTGAGGTTAGATGTAGATGATAATATTATTAATTTGACATGTACAGAAACATGGTTGTGGTTTGTCACAGTTTTAGCAAGGCTATTGGTCATGTCTTTCATTGTCTCTTTTAGCTTTATGCTTATTAATAAAAGGGTGCTATCTAATGAGTTGCGTCAACATGAGGGGAAGTGTCCGGTCAAATTTGACAAAGGTCTGTCATGCATTATTTCTGATTCCTCATTTTCAGTAGCAACTTAGACAAAGATGAATAAGAAACGCTTATCTAATTTACTGCTGATGAAAACCAGGAAGAGATAATATGACATGTCAGAGTCAAGATTCAAAATGATCTACTGAAAAGGTGGACTGAAATAAAGAAAATGAATTTAGCAAAAATAAATTCAAGATACTGAATTTAGTTTTAATGCAAATTACCTAAGACAGCTATGACTTATTCTAAAGAGTAAAATTGAGGATGTTTCTGAAAGAAATGGCACTACTTCAAAAACAGACTCTGCCAGGTATATCATTCCACAATGATTCTGTAGTTGCTCCCCCCCAAA